TTAAATAACTCCAGTCATCATCTCCTGTTACATAAATCCCCTCCTTCCTATCTTTTTCTTCGTGTCTTTGGGTGTTTATGCTACCCTCATCTTCGACCATATAATCGTCATAAGATGTCATACAGGTCTTCTCCATGTGTCTTCCTAGGTTATCCTGAGTCCTTTAGGGGGTACAGATGCATGGACTTACATACTAATAAGATTTACACATGCAAGCATGTTAGATTTGATGAAGAAGTTTTCCCCTTTGCTACTAAAACTTCTTTGCAGGATCTATCTACTCCGTTTTCTGGACCTTGGGTGGAATCTGTTCTCAGTCACAACACACCTATTCCTGCCGTGTCCAATGATGAGCTGCCAGAACCGCCGCTACCTGCTTCATTCGAACCAGCCGTGGATCCTGGACAGGCTGCCTCGTCGGGTGATCCTGTGGAGCCTGTTGCTCGCCGGCGAGGCCGTCCACGTGGGCGGTCCATCAGGCCCAATGTCCGTACTCACTCTATGGCCACTCGCAGCAACGCAGATGCTCCTCTTTTTGCTCTAGCAGCTCAAGTGCATCCCACGGAACCCACATGTTACTCTCAAGCTGTCAAATATCCTGAGTGGCGTGAAGCCATGGACCAAGAATTCAATGCTCTCCTGCATAACCACACATGGTCTCTAGTTCCACCCACTGCAGGTATGAATATTATTGGCTGTAAATGGGTGTTTCGTACGAAGAGAAAGGCTGATGGTGCTATTGAAAAGCATAAAGCCAGGCTGGTTGCGAAAGGTTTTAATCAGGTTCCAGGTCAGGACTTCTTCGACACTTTTAGTCCAGTGGTAAAGCCTACGACTGTAAGACTCCTTCTATCTCTAGCTTTATCATCTGGGTGGTCTATCAAACAGCTAGATGTTCATAATGCTTTTCTGAATGGTAATCTGGCTGAAACAGTTTATATGAAGCAACCCCCTGGTTATATTGATGCTAACTTCCCGAATCATGTTTGTTTGTTAAAAAGATCTCTGTATGGGTTAAAACAAGCTCCCAGAGCTTGGTTTAATCGACTACATACGTTCTTACTATCGGTTGGCTTTCAAGCATCCAAGACAGATGTCTCTCTGTTCTATTACTCTAAAGACTCTGCTTTGGTTTATCTATTGGTGTACGTGGATGACATTCTTGTAATGGGAAGTGATCAAGGTATTATGTCTCAGCTCTTGTCCAAACTGTCTGCTACATTCAAAATCAGAGATCTTGGTGAACCAAATTTTTTTCTGGGTATTGAAACAGTTAAGAGTGACAATGGGATTATTTTATCTCAACAACGGTATATGAATGATATTTTAAAACGGGCTGGAATGTCTGAATGCAAACCCCTTTCTACACCTATCTCTGTCTCGAAAACTGTCCCCTTCAATTCAGATCTATATGATGATCCCACACAGTACAGGAGTCTAGCTGGAGCACTGCAATATCTCACTGTCACACGACCTGACCTATCCTTTGCAGTTAATCAGTTATGCCAACATATGCATGCCCCCACCATATCACACTGGGAGCAGCTCAAACGGGTACTCAGATATGTTAAGGGAACAGTTGATCATGGTTTACGCATACGACGGTGCTCATCTAGAGACATTCATGCTTTCTCTGATTCTAATTGGGCTGGTTGTCCCGACGATCGAAAATCCACGAGTGGTTTTGCTGTTTTCTTGGGGAGTAATCTTATATCGTGGGTTTGCAAGAAACAGAGAACTGTTGCCAGGTCATCCACTGAGGCTGAATACAAAGCTCTTGCAGATGTTTGTGCTGAGGTTCTATGGATTATGTCATTATTGCGTGAGATACAGATTTCGGGTATTTCCATTCCAAAATTATGGTGTGATAATCTAGGAGCTACATATATGAGTGCCAATCCAATCTTTCATGCGCGCACCAAGCATGTGGAGATTGATTATCATTTTGTTCGTGATCGAGTAGCTTCGGGCGATATCCAAGTCAACTTCATCTCCACAAAGGATCAACTTGCTGATATCTTCACCAAAGCTCTGCCTGGACCTAGATTTTCTTCCTTAAGGGACAAGCTACAGGTTACTAGTATACACTGTACTTGAGGGGGAGTATTAGGACTCTATGTATATGAATCTGTTTAGAACTTCTTATCCTTGTCACACTGTGACTCTCTACTTCTTATCATTGTCACACTGTGACTCTCTATTCTATATATTCACATCATCTGATCTCATTGTAATCAAGTTCAGAAAATATAATACAATCAGTTCTCATCTTCACCACTCTTTATGACATATAAATGGTAAGAACCCTTAAATTTGGATTCAAATTTATAAAGTTATAATTATTAACATTTTACCTCTAAGTCATCCTTACCTATAAGCCAATTGAGATATATTTTATAATTTACCTCTTTCACCACTCTTTATGACATAAATGGTAAGAACCCTTAAATTTGGATTCAATTTTATAAAGTTATAATTATTAACATTTTATTCTGAGTTAATATCCAATTTGGTCCCTCGACTATATATTAGGGTTTTACCATTTTGGTCATCTACTATCAAAGTTGCTCAATTTAATTCTAACTATGCAATTTTTACCTAAAATGGTCACTCGACTATTTGGATTTTACCACTTTGATCCTCGACTACCAAAATTGCTCAATTTAGTCCATAACTATGCAATTTTTACTTAAAATGGTCCCTCAACTATTATGATTTCAATATTTTGATCATCGACTCTCCAAAAAGATCCCCAAATCCGCACTAAACTTACATTTTAGGTTAACATTTGCATTGTTGGAAACTAAATTGAACAACTTTGATAGCCGATGACCAAACTGGTGAAATCCTAATAGTCGATGGACAATTTTGGAAAAAAATTGCATAGTTAGGGACTAAATTGAACAACTTTGGTAGTTGAGGACCAAATTGGTGAAATCCTAATATTCAAGGGACCATTTTAGGTAAAATTTGCATAATTAGAGACTAAATTGAACAACTTTAGTAGTCGATGACCAAATTGGTGAAATCCTAACAGGGCTTTTGGTTGGATGTAATTTGGTTGTAATTGAATTGTAATTCAGTGAAGGCCACAATTACATTGTTTGGTTGGAGGGAATTGCAATTCGATACTTGTGGGGAAGGGAAAAATAGAACAAATGACAAAATTATCCTTGGTGGACCTTATTATTATTATTACACAAGGACACATTTTAGTTTTTATATCACTTTTTCCTTCTTATTCCCAATTATTCTATTACTTCATACCAAACAATGTAATTTGAATTTCTATATTATTCCTACCTTATTCTTTTTTCATCGAATTACCATTCATTTCCTTCTTAATTCATTCCTCCCAACCAAACACCTCATAATAGTCGATGAACAAAATTGGGTATTAATTCTTTTATTCTTTTTGGATGTGAATTCCCGTACCCACAAAGCAATGAAAATCACCTTTTACCCCGCCCCCGCCCTAACCCAACCCCCATTTGTTCCACTTTAGATCAAAATTTGAACTGAAATAATCGATAACTGAATTCTTTTGAAACATAAAATTGTTATTCCAATTGATATAATTTGATTTGTCAAAATTACTCTGGATAACTTCTTCTCTTTTCTCAAATACTATATATTGAATCAGTGAGCTAAATTTGTGGGGCTACTTGACAACCTTGCTTGAGAGGTCAAAGTCGTATAAAACTTGAGTTAAATTTTAAAAATTAATTAACTTCATATCAATTCCAATTACTACGTGCTGCATTGTATGATGTTAATCTTATTGATTTGTTGTGTGAATCTGTTACAATATTTTTTTTCTAGTACTAACGATCTTTTGACCTTCCTTCAACAAGAGCCACAAAAGCGCCAACTGAGCATAAGCTATTTGACAATCCGTTGTGTTTTATTCAGAAAAGTTTGCTTTGAATTATAAATTCAAATTTTTTTAATTATTATTTAATGCTTCTACAACAATATTCAATTTAATCTTTTATCAAAATGACCAAATTTAACACTAGCACAAAACTGCCAAAATAAGATAAATAACAATCACATGTTTTAAAACTAAGAATTAATTTTAGAACTAAGAATTACTATAATTTAAAGACTAAAAAAAAAACATAGAATATAATATGATTTATTTATTATGTACTTTAATAAAAAGTTTCATAATTTTTTAGACCTATTATTTAATATATGCTAAAATAAATAAATAACAAAAACGTTACAAATGAATACAATGCAAGTTAATGTTAGGTAAACCTGATCTTCAAACTTCAATTCTTCTATAGCCACATCTCCTTGCTCATAATGGAAATTTAATTTGTTTATGCTACGTGGTTGACTTGACTTATTTCTCTCCACACACCTATTATCAAGAGTAACGTTGCATTCCCTCTTAATTTTACATCGTAATTTTTATCTTCATTAATTTCTTTCGTATTTAATTAATACATAAATTTTCAAATGCAAGGTGTGATTCGTTTAGTTCTTGTCAAAATAATTTTGGTTGTGCTTGTCATATAAGATCTTTCTAGTAGAGTGATTTTTCTATGTAATTTGCAAGTTATTATATAGTAGCAGATTGTTTATTAGAGGTAGTGGTTATAAGTTCCTCGTCACATAAATGTGAATTTTGGGAGAGAAATCGAGACAGAAAAATACTATAAAAATAAAATAGTAATCTTTAATCCCATGATGAAAATTAACCCGTTGCAGAGTGGAGGTCCGATTCCTGCTATAAATATGGGGTTTGCATTTTGATTAACATTTTGTGCACGGAAATGTAAATTTGATGTTAAATTTCAAAATTGATTGATCCAATTTAATTTTTTATGGGCATATGTCGAATTTATGGGGTCCATTATATAGAGGTAAAATTTTATTTTTTTTTTAAAAAAAGGAAAATTAATCCGCATTATGATGGAGGCGTACTTCGCGGTTTCTTGTCTTTGATAAGCCTCAAAATCAAGAATCTGTTCACCCTCTACTCATGTGCAGACATATATATAAATGAATTCACACTTTTCTTGTTCTTAGCGTAATATAATGCCATTGATTCGCTACGGTCTTATTTTATATCTCAATTCCTTCTCTCTTAAGGGGCAAATGCAAATTTCAAATGGTTTTCTTGATTTATATATTCGCTCCTTAGTGTAAAGACTCTATTTTGTTCCCTTCCATGTTCCATCATCTCCTCCTCCCCAAGCAAAGTAGTAGTCCTCTAGCTTTCACTGTTTCTCTCTAGCCTTTATTCTATTCCCTCTTTTGCTTTTGGGTTTCTGTGTAGCTTTTCGAGATCCGGTCACCAAATGGGGGTTTCCCAACGCAGTTTCACTAACTCCGGGGGGGATATACAGCCTGTGCCCACCCATTTCTCTGCAGAGAGTGGTGATGAGAGTGATGGGTTTTGTGGGCATGGTGAATTAAAGGTCAAATCTTTAGTTTACAGAATGATTTGGGATTTTGGGCTGGGGTGTTTAATCCCGGCCAGCCGGCGGCGGAGCTCCGGCAAGGGTAAAGGGGGAAAGGGCGGTGAGAATTCAGAGCATAATAAGGCTTGGTTGCTGGCACAGTCCGGTGGGTGTGGGCGTTCTGAATTGACTAATGCTGAGCCACAATCAGTTCACTCCTCCTTCAGGCTTAGTCTTTGCTCTCAGGTTGAGCTTGAGTCCATGAATGTGAGTAGCTGCTCCCCTGCTACTGTTTTGATGGTGAATTTGGAGAATGGTTTGACTGATCCTGGGTCAAGAGAGCTGAAATGGAGGAGGATTGAGTCTCTGGAGAGGAGTATTTCACCTGTGGCACATTCTTTAGTTAGGTTTAGCTATCATGAAATTCTTGCTGCCACTAGCAATTTCTCCAAAGGTACTCAATTTGGTTCTTTTGTTTCTTGAAAAGTAATTACCTTTTTGCTTGCCCAAATCCAACACAAGGTACATAAGGTATTTAGGGGATTGTTGGGTTCTAACACCCTACCTATTTACTCTCGCAAGAGTAAACTGTGCAGTTAAGACTGACAGGTGCTTTGGGAAATTGTTGGGCGGAGGTAGGGCCAAGTCCAATACTATATGATTAGGGGATTGTTAGGCGGAGGTCTAGAGGGCACTCTGCCTATCGAAATAAGGAAATAAAGTTATGCCCTTGCTACCGGCTATATATGGTAATCATTTGATTTTGAAAATGGTATAGATATAAGGAAATAAAGTTATGCCCTCGCTACCAGCTATATATGGTAATCGTTTGATTTTAACACTTTTTTTGTGATTCTATTTGCCTTTATATTTGCATTGGATCTTGACTGGTTTTGTTGAATTTGGGTAGGTAGAGTTTTGGGAAGAGGTGCATTGAGCTATGTTTTCAGGGGGAGAATTGGGTTTCTGAAGGCTGCAGTAGCAATTAAGAGGTTGGATATGGAAGACAAGGAGACCCCAAAGGCATTTTGTAGGGAATTGATGATTGCTAGCTCTCTACGCAACCCTTACATTGTTCCTCTTGTGGGGTTTTGTATTGATCCACAAGAGGGTTTGTTTTTGGTTTACAAATATGTATCTGGTGGAAACCTGGACTGTTATTTGCACGGTATGGATTCATTTCTCGTTCATATCATTCGTTTCCAGTCTGCTAATCTTAACTCCGTTGTGGAGTCTTGGAGTGATTGATAATTTGTTATCTTCTGCTTGCAGATAAGAAGCGGGGAGTGAGAGGTGGCACCGCTCTTCCATGGTCCGTGAGGTATAAAGTTGCTGTTGGCATCGCGGAAGCCATTGGCTATTTGCATAATGGTACTGAAAGATGCGTTGTTCATAGGGACATCAAGCCCTCGAACATCCTTCTTTCTTCAAGAAAGACACCTAAGGTAAGGAACTAAACTAGCGATTTGGTAACTAATGATTATAAAACTATTATTTTTGTCAACAAATTAGTTGGATCTACTAGCCAACAATAATGTTAATGTCACCAATTATGTCAGTCGTGTTAAATTAGTTTAATGACATATGCAGCTATGTGACTTTGGATTAGCTACGTGGACCCCTGCACCTTCGGTACCTTTCCTTTGCAAGACTGTGAAAGGAACATTTGGGTATGGCTTGATTATTGCTTTCTGAATTCTGGCATTCAAAATCAGTTTGTTCTGGTTGTGCCTAACCAATGAAGATGACTTTTCTGGATTTCTGATTTATGGTGTTGTCAAACTATATTTGCAGGTATTTAGCACCCGAGTATTTCCAGCATGGGAAAGTGTCGGATAAAACTGATGTCTATGCTTTTGGGGTAGTCCTCTTGGAATTACTAACTGGCCGGAATCCAATTGAAAGTAAAAGAGGACCCGGGGAGGAGAATTTGGTCTTGTGGGTATGTCATCGTTGCTTAATTTCTGCCTAATTTTTATGTATTGGTACTCACTGTTGAGCATATAACCATTAATGTGCAATCCAACTATCAGCTTAGACTTTTAGTGAGATGGAACACATGCTTTGATTTGGTATCAGAGCCATGCCAAAGGTCATTATTTATCTGAATATGCGTTCTTTTACTATTTATCCTAGGCGAAGCCGCTATTACAGCAAGGATTTGTTGAAAAGCTGCTGGATCCGAGGCTGAGATTTCCGCAGAAGAACTTGCAGAAGATAGCCTGGATGGTCCAAGCAGCAGCAGCGTGTATAAACAACGAGGAATCTCAGAGGCCCAACATTGACGTGATCATTGCCATACTTAGAGGCATAGAACCGGATTACCTTAGCAGGAAGAAGGGTACTAATCTAAGTGGTAATGGCTGTGTTTTCGACTGTTTGCAGCAGAGTAAAAGCGAAATGAAGAGTCACTTAGCATTGGCTATGGTAGGAGTTACCGAGTTTGAAGATGAAGATTTTTACTGCCGCTGAATCTTTGAATTGAAAGATTTGATTTTTAATTGGTTTTTTGTGTTTTACTTGGTTTCTTGATCAAATGAGAGAGAGAGAGAGAGAGAATGGGGGGGGGGGGGGGGGGGGGGGCGGGGGGATTGTTTAAAGTGTATATAAAAGTGGCAGGCTGAAGCAGTATATATACCTGTTTCATTTCCCAGACTTCACTGGGAAATTACAGGTTTTGGTCTGCACATTTAGTTAAACATCTCTGATTTTTTTTTTTTTTTTTTTGGGTTTCATATTTGTAGCTCTGCTTCTTGGACTAATTTGTTTTCTTGATTGTTAGTCTGTATTATATATTTAAAAAAAAAAAAAAAATCTTAACCTAAGTTCTAACTCCATGCCACCAAACTTTTTTTTTTTTTTTTTGCCCCAAAACCTTGGCCCGTGACTCAATAGTTCACTAGACAGAAGGCCAGGATCTATCTAGGGATAGCAATGGGTCGGGGAGGGTTACATCCATCACCAGACCCACCTTATATTTTCTCCACCCACCCCCACCTCCAACTTGTATCGGGTGGACTTTTTTAGAACCCACCCCTACCCCCACCGGGTGCCCACTACGGGTAACCACCACTTATCATCTTATTATGTTTTTCAAAAAATAATATTTAAATTATTTACACATAATAAAAAAATAAAATTCATTAGTGATACTAAAACATAAATAATGGAAATATTTAAATATAATAATTGTTAATTTTTAAAAATAAACTTAGTAGTTTTGATATAAAAAATAGTAAAAAGATACACGAAGTTATATAAAATTTTATAAATAACTACATACTAGTACTTATATATATATATATATATATATATATATATATATATATATATATACACACACACATGGTGGGTCGGGTGGGGTTTTAGACGGGTCTAGTACATAGAACCCGAATCCAACCCGACCCACACCGGACCCACCACTCACTATCACTCAAAAAAACTCGATCCATGTGGGGTGGATTCGGGTGAATATTCACGGGTCGGATTGAAAGATCTGTCGACATAATTTCACATTGTCATTGTCGAGGTTCGAATCTTAGTCTCTGATGATTAAACCAACATAGGGAATATCTCTAACTCTTCGAAACTAGTAATAGGACTTAATTGCACCATAGGTAATATCTCTTACTTCCTGAAACTAATAATATGACTGAACTCCACCCCTATCTCGATACATCACAATTAGACCAATATAAAAAATAATATCCTGTACAACTCTACCACTTTTAACTTCTCACACCGTAAAAATGGGTAAACACCCTCAAGCATATGATACTAAACTGAGAAAAGAATCTGAATCTTAATTAATTATTGCCTATTATTATAATTATATTATGTTTGGGGCATTGCACATAGACACATATCTCCACATGGTCCACTCCAAACAATTCCTAAAATCATAATAGAGGCTGGGAAATGAAAGTAGACCACATGGTATGGAATAGTTCGTTTATGATGCAAGTCATGTCGAAATTAGTAGCAACTAATTAATGTTTTTAATAAATCTAATAATCGTGATTTATAATCTCAAAAAGAAAAAAGAAAACAAAAAAAACTTAGAAGAGAAGATAGCTATAACATTAACCATTTATATTCTTGAAAGTTGGTAAAAAAATGAAAATTAAAAACAAAAAACAATGAAGAGGCATACTGATACGATTTCTACCATGATATGATAGAAATTAAAAATGAAAGTTTACAGTTAAAACTATAAAATAAAAATAAAAATAAGGTATGAAAACATTTATTAAAATGATGACTAGACTAGATTATCTTAGCGACATCTCTCATCAAGCCCCGGTTGGCTCGGGCAAAAGCCAGGTACTCATCGAAGGAGATGAAGCCATCGCCGTCGGTGTCGAGCTCGTCCATCATCCGCTGCACTTCCTCAGTGGTGACGGAGCCCAGCGTTCTCAAGGCGTCCCCCAGCTCCGTCGACGAGATCTTGCCGTCGCCGTTGGTGTCGAAATGCTTGAAGATTTTGTCGCGATCAGCAACGTCTTGAGGATCATCAGCTTCAGCTTCAGCCATTGTGCTTTTGTTTTTTTCTTCTTCCCTTTCAGATTCAAATCAAATGCTGAAATCATTAGGTTATATACTGAGAATTCCTGATCAACAATGGCCATCCTTTGAATACGGGGCTGATTGAAAGAGTCAGACTCGCACTTTTACCACTCAAATTCATGGACAAGATTACATCACAATATTTACTAAATTTTATTCTATGCCTCTAAACACCAAAAAAAAAAAAAAGATGCCAGAAATTTTGCAATAGCTATTATTATTATTTTTTAAAAATTAAGTAACCCTAATTTCTCCCATAATATATGGAAATTTGTAAAAGCTACAAATTCAAATGTGATAATTATTTATTTTAATTGTTTATTGCTATATTGCTATATATATATATATAGGCTTCGGATCCGATGAGATCCTCTAGATAGATGAGATCATGAGATATCATCTTATCCATTAATTAAATTCCAATGGATGGATGGGATTGAAAGTCAAATCCTAATTAAATAAGGCTAGATTTTAACTAGAAGGATAGAAGAGTAATTATAATATGGCGTTTAATTTTGGTTATAATTAAAATACAATCTTACCATAATATTAGGGATCATATCAATAGTAAGAATTAATTATATTGTGTTCAAAGATTCAAACATAGTATCGATGGTGTTATATAAATTCTACAGAGCTTGAGAATGACATTTAAAATCGCGGGTAAGTGCGTCTTTAATTTTAATTTAGGTAAATACTACGTAGGTTTGTGCATTGTTGTGTAACGGAGTGTGCAAATTCGCAGACGATACATTTTTTTTTGAGTAGGGTGGGTGCATTTATGGTGATAGGCGTGAGTTTTTTTTTTTTTTTTAATTATTTTGGTTCTAAAAAATTTCGTAGGTTCTTGTGTGTGCAATTGTGGCGAACGACGTGTGCACTTTGCTGGCAAGGGGACTCTTCTACATGTTTTTTTTTTTTTTTTTTTTTTTTTTTTTGACGGTGGTGTGTGCAGTTATGTGGAAAGGCATTTGCAAATTGTTTATAATGGTATGACCCATAATAGTGAAACATAATGTTATCAGATCAGTGGATATGCATACAACAATTTATATTGAGATCTCCATCTTAGCACTAAACCACTTTGGTAAACATATGAATTGACATTTGCTAATCATGTTCCTCATATGTCGTCATTAGGGTGTGTGCATTTATGGTGATTGGTGTGTTTTTAAAAAAAATTTATTTTGGTTCTAAAACATTTCGTAGGTTCTTGTATGTGCAATTGTGCAAATCGGCGTGTGCATTTACGGGAGCTGGTTGATGCATAGTAGTGAGCGTGGTGTTATTTGCTAAGTAGTGTGTATTTCACATCTACTAGGCGTGTGCGCACACGGCCGTAGGTGTATGCGTTATACTGACTAGTGTGTGCATCGGCATGTAACGGAGCGTGCAGTTTAAAAGGCGAAGGACTGTAATGACCATGTAGAGAGAACAAGTTTGTTAAATAACTTGGCCACATGATGTTGTTCCAAGACCACCCACAAGCTAAACACTTCACCAATCTTTTAAAAAGAAAAGGTCCATATAGTTAATAATGAAAAAATATTATTTGTCTTTCTTGTGTGCATTCTAAGAAAAGAATTTAAGCTCACCAAGCAACAAGCAACATAGGCATGCGCATAAAAAAATAGAAAAAGTACAATACCACTTAGCAACTGAGAAAGAAAATAATTGATTTTAAATAGAAGCATGAATGTCAATGCATCTGGCTTAAAAACACAAACGTCTTCTCCAAAATCAAAGGACAATGGTGATAATGGAAGTATATATAGCAAAAACATTGCATATAACCTAAATCCCTATAACATGATAATATTACCCATTTGTGGGAGACACTTATTTCTCTTGCTTTTTCAAAAAAAAAAAAAATAAATAACAGATTCCTCAAGCTTTCCCAGATGAAAGTAGGATTTGACAGTTACTAAACAACGCCAAAACCTATGTGAATCACTCCTCTGTTTGTTAGAAGCATTCAAGTTTAATTTGCTGGCTCAGAATCTGAAGTGGAAGTGTAACTCACCACAAGTAAATGTCCGCTCACATAGCTGAATTGCTTCTTTGTATGCAGCTGTGAATTATCATTGCAGTTAAGCTAAAACACAGAAAATGAGAGATGTTTTCGTCAATTACTTGCCTATAAAAATTTAAGTTATCAAGTCTTATTTCTCAGGAATACAAACCATAAGAAGAACATATGCTTTCATTTCAAGTAACTTCACTGAGTAAGGGCTTATCATCAAAGCATCAGCTACAACAGCCAAGGCACACTATGCATCATTGGTTGTTCTTCTTTCTAAGAGCTCTGCCAGATTGCTTTTCATGTAATTTGAAAATTTCTTGCACCTAAGGGAAACCAAAATTCAGCTTTCATTTCCTTAGCAATTATACGTAAAAAAAAAAAAAAAAAAAAAAAAAAGGTATCAAATTCAGGTGTGCCAATGAAACATCTACAAAAGGAAATCCTCTCAACTAAACCACCAAATTAAAGCAAAATATCAACTAAGTGAACCAGACACCAATCACCAGGAAGGTGGAAACACGATACTGCACCCACCACTTCCTAAACCTCACGTGGACCACACACAACACCCATACAACAATAAAGTCATAAAAAAAGGGGACTGAAACCATTCACCAGCAATCACCACCATCCCGGAGCACCAAGAACGCCGGCACAATCTCCCAGCACCCACACACAATGAACCCCCCCTCCCTAGCCGAACCCAACTGGAAATACCGACGCCAAAGGCATCAAACGCACAAAAAAAAGGGAAAAAAACGATTTCCACCCCCCAGCCGGACAGAACCCGAAAATAATAATAATAATAATAATCAACGCAACACACACACCTCCCTTGCCAAACCCTATCCACCCACCGCCAATCATCCCCAGCAAAAACCCCCAATCCCCGCCCCCGGAACCTAACAGACCAAAACCCCCGACATTGGACTTGTCGCCGTAGACATGCAACATCAGCACAAGAAGAAAATAAGCCAAGAAACACCAAACACATAACCGCGGCTACCGGAATACCCGGAATGCAACCGGAAGACCCCCCCTCTGACGCTTGGTCTGCCGGTTGGTAGAACCCGCCATGACGACTGTGCGAACGGCACGAGGAAAGCAGGCCGGCGTCAACGCTTGATTATAGAGCACATACTGAGAAGAATCGCACCGGAGAGAAGATCGCACGAGTCGGGCAGGCTTTCGAGAAGACGAAACGGAAACCTCAAAGAAAAGAAGGGGAAGAGACGGGAATTAAAAAATACAAATCATAAAATCTTATTTAACCATAAATAATTAACCTGCACAAGCCCACAAAATCCAGTAGTAATTATTGCAGTCTAATAAAAATACAAAGAAAAAGACATCCTTGCCCCTAAATCTACAAATTAAGCAGCGCACGCGGTAATTAGTTAGAATAGATCCAGGACGTCCAAAGATGCAAATAAACGTACAAGATTGAGCCTCACCACCTCACCTGTCAATGCTAACCTTACCGGATCCAAAATCTATATATATATATATATATATATATATATATATATATATATATATATATATTTGTAATCTTATCAAGAACCTAAATTTTTGTTACTAATCTATAGAGACAATAGAGTAGATTGAGTCTGATGATATTATGTTTGAATAATAGTAAAGTTGTAACGATTTTTAAAATTTTTATGATGAATAATCTTTATAGAGGTAATAATTGAAGTTTCTTATTTTGGTAGTTTTTTTTTTTTTTTTTTTTTTTGGGGTGTATCTCAGATTTTCACAGTCGGATATAGTGATTAATCTTTCGCTGGATTGTAGGTATATTTTTTGGGTGGGACATCTGGCCTAGAAATTTAAGGTTACTCCATACCTAAAGTGATCAAACCTTTGACATTTGGTTAATGATGGATGAGTCTCTTCCACTCAATTACACCATAGATTATTTAATTATTATTTTTTGGTAGTTTCTAGCTGAGGTTTTTACGGGACATATGGTTGGAGGAAATTACAATTCAATACCCACCTAGCTAATTCTCACATAATTTCGAAGGCAAGTAAATTCCTTCTTTTGGTTGGGGGGAATTGAAATTCTCTCATTTTTATGGAATTAGAATTCCAAGGCCCCATTAAAAAATAATAATAAAAATATTCCAAGGCCCTCCTTGATATTTCAATTCTATGGATTTTAGGAAGAAAAAAAATAACTTTTAGACAAAATAACCCCTTTCTTTTTTTAACATAAAATTGATGTTTGATCTCTCTCTTTCAATTATAGTGTCTTTTTCTTCTACTCTCAACACAGAACGTCAATCAGTAGGCCAACCTCAATCAAATATGTTTTCTCAATTAAAACTCCCTTATCTATTTTATTGCTTTCGTTATGCAATTCTAGAGTTTATTTACAACGGGTTACATAAATTTTTAAAAGCAAAATTTAAATTTGGTCATTTAGGATTTATAAAATAATAATAATAATAATAATAATAATAATAATAATAATAACAAGAAGTAGTAGTATGGACATTTTGGACTTTATAATACTTATTTCCTTTCAATTTCCATGTACCAAACATTGAAATTGAAATTTCCATTAATTCTATTCATGCAAACCAAACACTAAACGCCTAGTTAAGTTTTTACTAGTAGTCTAGTTTTTTGTTTTTTTTTTTTTTTTTGGATGATAATGAAAATCATACCGATTATCTAAGGGCATCCACCGGGTTATGATCCTAGCTGGTAAATGATCATAATGAGGTAAATCGGTTTAAGTTATCCATAATTGGCCAATTCAAATCAAGGACTAATCTAGTATTTTTAATTAGGGGTGTAAACGAGTCGAGCCGAGCTCGAGCTTGGGTTGGCTTGAGTTTGAGCTCGTTAAGGAAAGCTCGGCTCGAGTTCGAGCTCGAGCTCGGCTCGAGTTCGAGCTCGAGCTCGGCTCGAGCAGTTCAATTGTTCGAGCTCGATCTTGAGCTCGAGTTCTAGTTCGATTTTTGGTTCGAGTTCGGGCTTAATTTTGACCTCAAATTTGACCTGTTTGATTTTAAATTCATGTTTTAATTAAAAATAAACTACTTTATTTTATTC